AGGATTTAGTTCATACGATTCTACCCCTTCATTCTTGTTTAATGTGCTCATTTTGTGAGCACATGAAAAATGGATTTACTAGCAACCTATAGTGCTTGTTGATGTTGTTAAGCCATAAAGCACACAAATAATGAGCTATATCATGTTACCATATCATGTTCATTAGGGCTGTTGTCAAACCTCTCTGTGCTTGTGTGGGCAGGTTTGTGTGTGAGAGAATTTCTCAGTTAGAGAAACAAGCATTTCTCTTGCATACATTATGCCTGGTGCCTACACATCACACACACAAAATGAAAAGTACCTTACCTCAGGTCCCTCTGATGTAATGATGAGTGAAGATTTATGCATCGAGGTCACATCATTTTTTGTTGATCTCAGCAGCTTCTTCATCAGAGTAGAAACTCAGACATGTGGCGATGGGGCAGGTGACTTTGGAGCTAGGTTTACTTTAAAACATGGTGACCAGTGGAAAACAACAGTGGACCTAGTCTTAAAAGAGTACAATCTCAAAGGAGTTTTGTTCTTTTTTCTGATTTGACAAAAAATTGCTGACTGTGATGGCTCAACAAGAAAGCTTTTTTTTTTTTTTTATATACAACTGGGGGAAAAAATTCTGACTTACCTAAACCAAAATATGTTCTTAAAACTTGGTTGCTGCTGACAAGACAAACACGTCTCCCCCGATGGCATGTGGTTGAAAACACAATGTCTTGTGGCACCCAACTCAGCATCGACTGAATGGTTACTGGAGCTAAGTGAGGTGGGGAATAGGCACAAGAGCCCTTGCCCACCACCGAACCAAGCCTCATGGCTTCGAGCTATGCAATTATTTTTGTACTGCATCCAATATCAGCTTGAAAGCAATGCAGATTATTTAAGATGCACTTTTCAGGGCTCGCAATTATAATAATGATGATCTCAATTAGCGTTGCCATTGCCTCAGACTATTTAGCAGGCAATTTTGCAACCTACGGGCGAGGGTCTTCAAGACTCATTGTCAGGTTAGAAAGGGTGGAGAGAGAAAGAAAGACACAGGGAGCAAGAGTTGGCACTTGTAATCAATAAACTGTGAGACTAGCAATATTTACCACCCAAATCCTCAAGGGAGTGGCTCATAAATTGACCTAATTGATTAGTGTTGAAGATGAAACATACTGTTTGATGCCAGTTTAGTGTTCTCATACAGTGTGTTGAGACTCTGACTAAACACCAAGTTAAACTGGAGTCAATGAAGAAGGTAGTAGTAAGGTCAATCATTTACTGTCCACTCTTCCACGCTTAACAGCACACTGCAAATAAAAACAATATAATAAACATTGAATGTCAGTTATTTTTAACCAATATTTGTACTATAAATGGTTTAACAGACACAAGCATGTTCAAACCCATATTATCAACTAACTAGCTTATACATAACGATAAATAAACTTTATCAATATGATATTTCTTAACTCTTTTTAACACAATTATAATAAATGTTATGTATACTACATATGTCACCATACACACATAGGCACTTATAGCATTGCTTCTATGATATTTTCTAGTGGATGTAAATGGATTCACGTGCTGCATGCAAAAGAGTCTGAAAATCAGAAGTGATGTCATTGCTTTGCGCAAATCAATCAATAGACTTAGCGTTATTATTTTTGCTATACATAGTTATTGACCTGGCCCTTCACCAAAAATAGTTACCAACAACAATTTCAACAAAAATAAATGGATGAATAAATGCCTTAGAGGCAAAACACGCAGTCTAATTCAGAGTGGTTGATGATATGAAACAGGTAAGTGAAAGTAAAGCCGGACAGAGCAGGGTGGAAGAACAGGAAAGGAAACACATTTTGGACTTAAATGAAATATATAGTAATGCGTTAATTAGTGAGCTTTAGATGTTGTCTTTATGCTAAGTTAAACTAAATGATTTAAGCTGAGCCTCCAGGCTGTATTAAGGATACATACACGTGAGTGGCATTAATCTTTTCTGTCAAAAATAAAGTGAATAAGCATATTTCCCTAACTGTCAAACTATTGCTTTAAACTTTTGAAAACACTTTTTTGTTCAGAAATTAACTTGTCTCTCAATGCATTCTACCGTTCTCAGCATCTCATAAAGTATGCTGCAATGCCACTGTATATTAGAGGGACTTCTTTCCCCCCCACCATTCATGTGCAAAATCCTTGCACCACCAGCTACCCTTTCTTTTATTCATTGCACTGTAAATAACTCCACTTTATGAAAAGCAGCCAATGTGACTCATGGATACCTCTCTAACCACAACCCATTATTATTTCATGGCCTTCGAAAGAAGGGTCTATAGCAGGCGCTCTCACACTTTAATGCTGGAGCTCTCTCTGATGTTGTGTAGTACACAGCGGCCCTTGTTGCACTCCGTATGCGATCCCTCACTCGAATTCACAAACACTTCCAAGTGCATAAATAGTATGGCAGAAAAGATTCTTGCGAGCTAGCTAATGCTCGGGAAAGCTATAGCTGAGGAGATAACAGGAGGCTGCCATGACTGATGCCTGGGAGTGTCACTGGGGAAGAAGAGAAAGCGAAGTGTGTGCCTTTATGAAAAATGCTGTTGTTTTCTGACCTCTCAGGGGACATCATATAGTAAAGAAAAAGAACATGCATCTGTGTTACAATAAAATGACCAGGCAAAGGGTTCCACACTGTCCCTCAGCACCCTTTGGAACTATAGAAGGTTCTCGGCACACAGACGAGCTAATGGGCAACCTATTGGTCATGGTAGATTCAGTTTGAATTTCAATGAGGGTGTCAGTGTGTGGCTGCTCTGTGACCGTCAAGGTGTAACTGGCCTGCTGGAGTTGATTTAGCCACATGGCCTGTCATAACGTTTTACCAGTCAACATCCATCAAACACAAGGCTAAAAAGCATGTTTTTCTTATGTGTCAAGAGGAAACTGCAATCTTGAAGACGATGGAAAACGGAAGGCATCTGATGAAAATTCACATCTTTGTTTTTGATACATGAAGCAGAACCCTGATGGCAATAAGTTTGATATTTTTTACATGAGCTTGACAACAGACTTAATAATGTGGTTTGTGTCAAAACCACTTTTGCAGCATGTATGTATGTAGCACAGAAATGAAGCCTAGTTGGGTCACTTCTCACAAAAGCCTTTCAAGGTACACAGCAGTATTTCCATGTATACTGGGACATACTTGTGGTACATGAAAGCAGTGAGATTTAATCATACAAAAACTAAACCCATTACAGGTCCAGAGGGGTGGGCAATACAGTCCCTTTCCCGTTCCTTTAAACAAGACTAGGTGCTGGAAGCTGGAACAAAGCCTTGTAACATATACATTAAATTTTAATTGTTTTTTTTTTTTTTCCAACCCCTTCTTTCACATCTCTGAAGTAGCAGCTGAAGTAGCAGAAATGTTAAAAGTGTGATGCCAGCTGGATTTTCATAGAAATGCCTTTGTAGAATAAAAGATATAAGTGTAACAGTGGAGGGGAAAATTTACTGTCTGATGCTGGAGGTAGACAGTTGCTTTTCAAATTCCAAGTTTTGGTCCTTTATTTTATTCAGCAGTGAAATGCCATGAATACAGAAAATAATAATATCTGTTACAATTCTCAACCATGACCTTCTAATGTCAGAGAACTTTTAACGTGTGGACACAGTACACAGTAATGAAAAGTATCAAAAAAGGAGCTGAATGTCATCCAAAAGGAAAATGAAACAAACAAACAAAAAAGTTGTCACCAATTACATAAACATGTTTGCTACAGTCCCAATTTACTGTATACATAGGGAGATCATATTCCCAATTATTAGAGAAGGATAGCAGTAGAAAGGATACATGACTCAACTGCCAGACATAATGCTTCATAAAGTATGCACAGAGGTACAAGCAATAAATACACACATTAGGTTAAGCCTTACAGCTACGCAAAGCAGATGCAGAAAAAGCAGGTTTGCTATTCTTAGCGAGCAATGAGAGAGAAACAGTAAAAATTCAGGTAAGTCAGAAAAGAAACACAGATTTTTTTTTCCTCTTAGAAAAAAGTCTGGTAAATTTATGGGTCCACCAACATTTTTTTGTTTTTTACATAAGTATGCACAGTTATCAAAATACAGACAAAATTAACCCAGAAAATCCAGACAATCCTAAAATCTAGTGGAGGAGCAGATTGCAGTTCTGGAGGTCTTTCTGGTATCATGTGCAAGCAACTATTTTAGACATTTTTTTTAACTTAATTTATACAAAACCCATGCAAATCTACAGGTAATATGCATTCTGTGGCTGACAGGTTGTATCCGTCCCAAAACAGTATTTCTGAGGTAATGCACTCCTATGCATTGTACGTACATTTAGGCCATTGTCCCGGTGATTTTTATTATATTCTTTTTATTAGTGCTCGTTTCCAGTCCACCAAATGATTTTTAGACATGCATTTTTAAAACACAATATTCCCTTACAGGTAATCTATACATCATCATTCTACAAATGTTTGAGGACAACCTATTACAATGCAAATCTTCCATATCTTGACACAGGGAATGTAAACGTTGGTTTGAGCCATGTTCTATGAGACAAGAGTAGGAAAGTGTAACAACTCTTGTGTTATTCTAATAACTCGTGCAATCTGTCATAATTGTTCTGAATTTGTTGTGCAGAGGTAGAAGCTTTTAGAAAGCCTTTTTTGGGTGAGTGGGAGAACCCCCCCCCCCCCCCCTTTTTTTTGAAAGACACAACGTCCTTTTTATTTGGTGTGTCAAGATTATTAAGAACGCCGTCTTCAAGTTGTTTTGCTGACTTCAGCTAAGCATTGAAGGGATAAGCTTTGTTCCTGGGCCCAGTACCCTCTTGACGTGAAACTGGTGTGTGTGTGTGTGTGTGTGTGTGTGTGTGTGTGTGTGTTTTACATGCTATGTGTTTGTACAGTACTGCATGTGTCTAAATGTTAAGCTCTTGCATCCAATTTCTCAGTTTGGCACAACACTTGAAAACAACATATGCACAGTGTGTTTCCATTTTGGTCAAAGCAAGCAGATGCGTTGCTCGTTACAGCACGATACAAAGCCACTCGTCGGTTCTTTGACAGTGTACATTTTCTGCAGCTGGAGATTTAACTGAAACAAGAAAGTTGGCAGACCAACAGCACAGGTCTGTGTGTGTGTGTGCTCACGTGCATGTATTCTAGTCTCTGACAGGTTGTGTGTGGTTGTTGTTAGCATTTCTTTATCCCATACAAGAGGAGGCAGAATTTTGTGTAACTTTGGTTTACTGAAAACAGAAATGACCATTAAAGCAACAACACTTTTCTAGATGACATTAGCTGAGGGAGACAATGGGACAGTCTTCACATGAACCACTTCTCTTTAGCCTCTATAAATACCAAGTGTGATATAAAAAGCTGGCTACCTATATAGAGTACATCAGTGCTAATGCTTGTTGTATCTATATAGTTTAGAAGCTATAAACCACACAATGAGTATTTGATGATAAGTTAAAGCAAATATCACCTAGAAAAGGTTACCTTTCACCATAGATATCCTCGTCTGCAATGGCTATAATTATTTGCTTTTACATAGTAACCAAACCACATCATTTCATATCAACTTGAAATTATGACTTATTTGGCTTCACTAGATAGTTTTCATGTTTGGTTAGCAATGTTTTCAGTTTCGGTTTCGATGCGGCTCAGAACAAAACTACCACAGAAATAAGACGTGACATTATTTTGACAGTCCCACGTAGAACATTACGAATATACCAGGTTAGAAAAAATAATCCTAAAAAAAATAAAATAATAATAAATAAAAAAAATGACTGATGTGTAATGCAAACTGAAAAACATTTTCATAATCTTTACAACAATACAATGCTTCTGCACTTCCATTGATTACACAAATGTTTTGTTTTGGTTATGATCCACTTTTACAGTTAGCTGCTCTCTATCAGTCAAATCACCAGCACAAAATACCTGCAGTTCAAATATCACATCACCTTTTACCTACAGTACATTTGGCAGAAAATCTCCAAAGTGGATGCGCTGTGAGTTTTCAAATTACACATCAAAGCGAGCATTTATCTCCCCTCTCTCTTTCTTATGATCATCTTTGTATAGGGCTAAATGAAACAATCCCAGAGGTTATTCGAAGGTAGTTGAGGAACAAAAGCTTCTCTTTGTACTAGTTTAAAGTCACAGAAGGTGGACCAAGAGGTGTTTGGTGACTTCTGTCTATAAGCTATTGGCCATTGCTAGTGTTGGCTTTGGTTTCTAGCTGTTGCCTGTTTGCAAGTAGACAAAGCTTTAGAACGAGGAGGTAAGGAAAACATCAAGAAGAAAATTATGCAGAAATGCATTTCTTTTGTAAATGGTGCTGTTTTCCCCCCAACTTACTGTCCAGATTTTTACTTTTAATCACAAACAGATAAGAGACTGGAGGCCAACTTTTTTTTTCTTTTTTGTTGGACAGCTGCAACAGTCCTGTAGTAGTACTGCAGTTCTGTTACTGGTGTGATTCAGGGAATGGCATTTACAGTTGGTGGCGTCTAAAATCATATCTGGAAACTAATGGTGGTTTAAAAAACAAACAAACAAAAAAAATAAATAATATACTGGATTTCATAATAGTAGCAACATACAGGCAGTGACACAAATTTCTGAGACTACTCCTGTGCAAATGATAACAGAGCAACAACTTGAATTGAACCAGCAATTGTCTCTAGACATTAACAACTACTGTGGGTTGGATTATTCACAAACATAAAATGTCTTCTTTTTTGGCAGTATATGAGGCCGCTAGCTTTCAACGGAACATGACTTTCTCATTTGTTTCATGTGTTTTTCCCCCCTTCGTGAGTCCATCAACCTTGTACTGTATGTGGCCAAGCCATCTCTAGTGAAATATGTCTCAAAAAGTTAATTTTTTTTAATCAGACGTCTCATGCCTGTCATGTTTGGGATCCCAAAGGACTGCAACAAAGAGTTCCTTTGGACCGATCTCCATCTGGATGCATGCTCAATAAATAGTCCCAGTGGTGCGAGAGACAAAGAGAACGTCAGTGTGGTTGCTTGGACTGTGAAGTGGTTTCTAGTCTTGTAGGAGGTCTGTGTGAGAGAAACAGTGCAGCTGGGTGAAGGGATACATTGACCAAAAACTGTATCCTAGTCACTCCAGGTCTTCTGATAGGTTCCCTTCCTCCAGCTCCCGGTCCTCTTCCAGCTCTGGACTGTGATTGGCTGTCGTCACCAATGACATCGGACAGTCGTTGTCATCCATGTTGAGTGGCTCCTCCTTCACGTGAATGGGTGGCCTATGACACAGTGATATTGGCAAATAATTTTAGGGTTTTATGACAAATTCCTGCAGCCAATTAAACTTCTTTGACCAAGAACTCACATTTAGATTTGTCATGTGTAAAATTTAAAATAACTGGAAAACACCTGAAAGTATAAAGCCAGAAACTAAAGGAGTACCAGTCCTAAAAGATATTAATATGAAAAGAGAGGCCAATAATTCCCTTTCCTGTGCATGGAATACACAATGTAGTGTTTAGTTTACAGATAAATATTTTGTTGTATCAAAAAACAGACATAGCCATTACATGCATAATATAGTGAACATAACCATGTTGTTTGCAAGATGCTGATTTGACATGATGCCTCATGTCTACTGTAAGTAAGCACATGAAAATTGCATGAAAAACACGGCACCTGTAAGGCCGATAAGCTGCGATGTTCCAGACATGTTTGGCATTTAAAAGTTTACTGATGACACCAGGTTGAAATACATGAAAAAGGAAAAAGCGAAGGGAAAAAAAAAAACAGGCCACATGATAAATAATGGAGAATTTCTCATCCCTGAGCCCCCTGGAGCAAAGGCAGAGGAGAGGCTTTTTTATCTAGTTAATAGAAAGAGCAGCCACTTGTTAATATGCAGCGGCTGTGCATGTCACTCCTCAAGAGGAAAAACCGGCAGCTAGGTTCTGCCATTAATCAACTTCAGCCCCAGCAGTTCGCTCGGACACCATGATACATGTTTTTAACTCTAAATGGATGAATATCTTTAGCCGCTGTCAATAAGCACTGGGCAGGAAGCAGAAGCAGCGCTGTGAGCAGGATACTTCTACAGAACAACAGAGGAGTGGGTGCAGAAAAAAAAAGTGTTGGGTGACTAAAAAGAATAATAATGCTGTCACACACAAACAAGGTATAACATGATCTGGGGCCTCTAGTCAGGGGAAGAGGGTTGT